GCCCTATATGTGGCCTGCCACAGCGGCCCGGCAATGGAGCTCGCCTGCCGTCCTCCGTGATGGAGCTGGCGGAGCGGTTCCTGCTCGACGCGCTCGCCTACCTTGAGTGCGCCCTAGGCTGCCTGACCTTCGTGGGGCTCACGCTGCGGGGCTCGCCCTATGGGCGCTACGCGTCGCAGCGCTCAGCCTGGCGAGTGGCAGCGCCCACCGCCTGGGCGGTGCAGGAGCTACCCTCCTTGGCCGTGCCGCTCTTCGTGGGCGTCGGCACGGCCGCCGAGCGCCTCCGTCACTGGCCCAACCGCGTCCTCCTGGCCATGTTCCTCGTCCACTACCTACAACGGTAACAGCAGGCGGTCCCGCGCTCCTCTGCGCCCCCGGCCCGACTTCTCCCTGCGCCCCTCGCTCGCCTTCCTGTCCCTATCCCCCAGCCAGGCTCCCTGGCCCTGTGCGCCGGCTGCCTCACCCTGCACCCCCGGCCGGTCTCCCTGCGCCTGTATCCCCCCAGCTTGCTGCTCTCTTCCTGTGTGTGCCCCTGGCTCACACTCTAGGACAGTGGACAGCTCTCTCCCGCGTTCCTTGCCCCTGTCCCCTCCCCCCATCGTTCTTGGCGCCGCCGCTCAGCGCTCCCAGCATCCCCCAGGCACGCACTCCCTGCCGACCCCTCCCTGGCACCCTCTCCCTGAGGAACCCGCACTTCCCAGTGCCTGGTGTCCTCTCCCTGCACTTCCTGGCCCCACCTCTGTCCCCTGGCGTAAGGAGTTAGCTTAGAAATAAGAATTAGTCTGGAAAAGTGGGGGAGACATTAGAGAGGACTTAAGAGGTGTGTGGGGGGGGGAAATAGAAGAGAGCTTTTTGTAAAATTTCGATCTAGAAGGTGTTAGCTATACAATAATCCGGGACTTTGTTCAAGATCAGAGTGTCTGGCCAAAGGTAAACCCCCTAAGCAATGTTTTCTACCTTTTCCGTTTGGTATCTTTGTTGTCAGTGGGCTGTTTTCTCCTTGCTAGGTGGTCACCTGGAAAGCTTCTTTCCTGAAAGGACTGTGAATCCCCCTGTTCAGTACTCATGGGCAGAAATTGGTCAGTTTGGAGACTTTCACCTCCACATTAGGCAGGGGGCCAAGGACTGTGGGAGTAGCTTTCCAAGCAATGACTTTAGACACGAAGTCTTAAAGATGACTTCCAAATCTTTTGGCTTTTGTGAAGAATTTTAAATGGCTGTGTCTGAGATCTTTAGGTTCCTCTGATAAGTTGGGGCTCTCTTCAGGCCTTAGGCTTTCACTTTTACACAGCTCAACCAAATGGCTTAACAAAAGCTGGAAATCAAAATTTAAATTTTTTGATTCAGACTTCAGAAGGCTGCACAGTTAAAAAGAATGTTTTCTACATGAAGAGAGCTGGGCTCACTTATTCTGTGAATGTGCACAGGTTACTGAACCTCTCTGATTTGGGGCCCCACCTTACAAAATACCCACTGTATAGAGAGGTAGGAAGAAGTAAGTATGCTTGCGTGTGTGTCAATAAGCCTCTCCTGTACAGTTATTAGCACACATGAGTCCTGCTTGACGCAATGTGTCCTCATCTGCTCTTATGCAGGCACTTTAAATAGACAGAGTTCATGTTCAACAAAGCCTTTCTGTCCTGTACCCCTGACACGCCAAGAGTATTTCATTAAGCAAAGTTTCTGTCAGATTGCTGGATTTTTTGTAATGTGATTGAACATTACCAAATTTGTGGATGCAATTTGAATATCAGTAGAACTCTTGTCTGTATACACTTTTCCATACATATACCAGAACCTGTGTCTGTCTGTCCATCTGTCCGTTTCTCTAATGGCTAAAAGCAAGCTCTGGAGTTGGATTGCCAGGTGTTATCTAATCCCCATCACTTAGGAAGTGAGATAAGTTACTAAGCTGCCTTCCAATGGGTTTCCCCATCTATGAAACAGGCACAGCAATGATACCAGCCTGTAGGATTGGCATTAAACAAAGGCAGGTCCATAAAATGCTTGCATTGTGTTGGCAAATGTGAATGCTGAATACACGATAAATAATACCATTTTAGATTGTCATGCAAGTGAGCAGATCTACTTACAAACTCTGTCATTCATGCATGCTGCTGCCAGCTTTGAGTGCCAGTAAAGAATTTTTGAAGACATGGCATTGGAAAAGAAGAGCACTTTACAGAGCTTTGTTTGAGAGCCTGGCTAAGCTTTTGAACTTAAGGCATCATGTTTAAGCCCTTTTAGGCTCACTCTAGTGAAAGAATGAATGCAGCCTCACAAAGGGCCAAAGTCACTTCTAGAGTTTTATGCAAGGCTGTTAGACTAGAGATTGCTGGGACTGCAACCCCTGTTTCCTAGATGAGTGGCTTTAGAATCTCTGCCCCAGAGGATTTGACAGGTCAGATATAGTTTTAAAACTGCTGGGCTATTTTTTATTTTTTAAGTCGCACATGTTACTGTACTTTTAGCCTCTGTAGTTTGGGGACATTGAAGTTTTCCAAATAGAAAAGATAAACATTTTCCATTCTACCCAAGCAACTAATTTATTAAACAGTCATCTGACCTAAGTCGGTGAGCACTTGGAAGAGAACAGAAGTGCCAGCTGCATTTAGCACGTGTTACAAGCCATGCAGCCAAGCTGGGAAACACTTCCCTCCCTTGTGCAAGGCAGTGCAAGTGATACAGGCCTGAATAAGAGAGGAGACTGAATGAATCCAGAATCTGGCTGGTGGCAGGAGAATCCTGAATCGGGATGTACTCCAGAGAGAGTCTGATGAGGCCTGAGTGGTGGGAACTTACAGAGCTTGGCAGATGTCTGCAGGGGCCCAGTGCTGAGCTCTGAGGAGGGAGGCCAGGCCCTGCCCTAGGTGAATTTTAGACTCTCGAGGGAATGGGGAGGACTGAAGCCAGATCGAGAGGCTTCCCACAGGCAATGGGAAGGGGAATTTGCTTACAGGAGAGGGGAAACCTGGACATCTTTCTTCATCTGGCAAGTGTTTACCAAGGATTGACTCATGTACCCAGCACTGTACACATTGGGGAATATAGAGACAAAATATGGTCTTAAGGAGTCAAAGAGTGGAAGACAGATTGTAGAGAATCTGCAAGATCTTTTTGGCTGAAGAGCCAGGGAGGGAAGGAAAGTCCTGACCGGAAGCAGAAGGGACAGCTGTGGGAAAGAATATGCCAGGGCCCTGATCAGTTCCCTGGTGGATGGCAAAGTTACATCTGAAGAAACATTGTAATCTATGACAAACAATGTCCCACTCAAGCACACGGTGTCACTGTCTTTACCATGACTGGTTGGGATCCAAAGAGGGAAAATATAGAATGGCCCCCAGATTACAGACTTTCAAAAACCCACAAGGCCTCCTCTTCCTGTCAGTCACCCTAAGGTCTGTGCTCAGCAGATCCCCATCATCAAAATTGTCCCACATTCCCGTTGCCTTCAGACTCAGAGATGCGCAAGTTTCCATGGCTAATAAAAACAACTTGGTGAAAAGTCAGTCTGTTTACACGGAACAGAAAGAAAGTAGAATGGGAAAGTTGTAACAGGAAGGAGATTAAGTGTTGATTTCCATCCACAGTCAGCCTGATGAGTTAGAATATTGAATCGTTTTGTATCTCCCTGGGACCTGACTATTATTGTGTAGCCTTCAGCTCATTATCAACATAAAATGGATTTATATAACACATTATCTCAATAAACTACTTTTAAGTCCAAATACTTCATAGTTACTCTTAAGGATGATTTCCACTCTAAGGGATTTTCAACTTCTCACTTAATTCCTTTTCTCAAAGAGGGGTAATGCTCATTCCCCACAGTTCCTAGATAAATGAGTGACTAAGTACAGATAAGACCAGAAGGGAATGGCATGAAGTATTCAAGGTAATGCAAAACAAGGATCTGAAACCAAGACGACTCAATCCAGCAAGGCTATCATTCAAAATAAATGGTGAAATAAAGAACTTCCCAGGCAAAAAAGGCTAAAGGAGTTTATTACCACCAAACCAGCATTGCAGGAAATGTTAAAGGGACTGCTGTAATAAGAAGAAGAAATAAAGAAACAGGCATAAAGAATTAAAAACGGCAATAAATAAGGACCTATCAATAATCACCTTAAGGATTTTAAGGGAGAGATCAAAGCAACACAGTCATAGTCATGGACTTTAACACCCCATTGATTTCACTAGATAGATTTTCCAGGCAAGAAGTCAACACAGAAACAATGACTCTAAATGACACATTAGATCAGATGGACTTAATTGATATTTACAGAATATTTCACTCTAAAGCTGCAGAATATACATTCCTCTCAAGTGCACATGGGTCATGCTCAAAGATAGACCACATGTTAGGACACAAAACAAGTCTCTAAAAGTTCAAGAAGATTGAAACCATGTCAACATCTCGGATCACAATGGCATGAAATTAGAAATCAACTACAGTAAAAACACTCAAAAACATTCAAACACATGAAGGCTAAATAACATGTTATTAAACAATGAATGGATTACCCATAAGATCAAGAAAGAAATCAAAAACTTCCTGGAAACAAATGAAAATGAACACACAACAACCCAAAATCTATGGGACACAACGAAAGCAGTTCTAAGAGGGTAGTTCATAGCACTACAAGCCTACCTCAAAAAGCAAGAAAAATTTTTAGTAAACTAACTCTACAACTTAAAGAATTAGAAAGCTCCCCTGTGCCACCATCCAGACCAGGACTTTTGTTTGCTGGGAGTTTTTTTTTATTACTGGTTCGATTTCATCCGTTGTTATTAGCCTATTCAGGTTTTCTGATTCTTCCTGATTCCATTTTACATGATCTCATATGTGGAATCTAAAACAAAATAGACTGAGGAACAAAATAGATCCAGAGACATAGAAGCATGGAACAGACTGATGAATCTCAGAGGGAAGGTGGGGGTGGGGGAGTGGGTAGGGAGAGATTAATCAAAGAACTTATATGCATATATGCATAACCCNAGAAAAAGAATGCATACATCACCCCTTTTAACTTTAACAGAGTTAGAAAGTATTTAAAGCCATTTTACATGGCTTGTGATTCAAACAATGGCAGTTGTCTTTGAAATGCCTTTATCACAGTGTAAGTTTTGCACATAAATGATGTTTTGTCTTAAGTTTTGGGTTGAATTCCCTAGGAGACATTATCAGATCTGCAGCAAAAAATAATTTCCAATGTCCTTCAAAACTCAATAATAGTGAGTGTGGGCAATTTTTCTCATTAAGAAAAATTTTTGTCTCAGCTCAGCTCAAAATAGGGTGAAGTATGGAGAGAATGTCGAATTCTTTGTTGAACTTATTGCTTCGATCACATGAAATAGATTGTTCTCAAAAGTACCTGATGGTACAGGGAATACCATTAAATACCTTACATCTTCACAAGTTTTACAGGGATAAATTTGTACTGGGTCTATTCTGTTCCACACATTTTTACCACCAGCAGTTGTAACATCTTAGCAGATTCCACTTTGGGTTGTATAGAATTTGTGTTTTCTCAGCTTACTTGGAAATACTCTCATCTCCAGTTGTTCGACACAGACTATTTTAAGAGCCTTGTTCCTCAGTCACATCAACCTTGGCACTGACTCCTTGAATAAAGGTCTGAGGAGTATCAGTGAAATCCATGGACCCAACAAGAGCCAAGGAAGACTGCTCACTCGCTATTGTGCCCCGCTTTTTAACTGACTATTGGCATTGTTCCTGGTGTCCCATCTCCTCAGGCAGCTGCTCTTACAGAAAGGCTAGTCCTGTTAAGCAAGTTTGTAAAGTGTTCCTTTGACTTCTGCTTCAGCTAATTAATTCCCCATTGGTGTATGGCTTTCCTTGCTTGCCTAAATTGATAACTTCCTATGGTCGTGGCCTCATTTTCATTTCTTTTGTAAAGAAATTCTATGATGAGATTCTGTTTTAAACTTTCATCATTTTTCTGACCTTTTCTGTGCGTTGGGGATACTGTGATGAGCGTGTAGTCTGGTAATGCCAACCTCTAATATGTTCTTTTGTCATAACTGGCATGTCATTGCATACCAAAGAATGCTTTGCCACCTGCAATAATACCCACACGCCACTGTGCATTCAAAGCATGAAGAGTTCACTTGTCATGATGGATATCACCAATACTAAAATTAAATGTGTGATACAAGGATACACATGGCACTCAAAACACTGTGTCATGGTGATTTGCAGTGCACCAAGCAGCCATGCAGAGGGATGAATTTGCCATGTACAGGTTATGTCACGTACAGGTTATGTTATGAGCAGCTGTAGACAGTATATAAACAGGTGACCAGGATGTGTTCCAGTACCACTTTATTTACGGATACCGAAACCTGAATTTTGTATAGTTTTCATGTCATGAAATATTCTTTTGATTCCCCCCCACACACACTATTTAAAAATGTAAAAACCATTCTTAGCTCACAGGCTGTACAAAAACAGGTGGTAGACTGGTTTTGCTGACACCCAATCTAGACTCAGGTTGATACAGCACAGGACATTAGTGATGGGAGGAAGGGGTTGTGAGGGGAAAACAAGAGGTTTGGGTTTCACCTTTACGAGGTGCCAGCCAGTATTTGCCAGCGTCCAGAATTCAGCCCTGAACTTGAAACTGAATTGGGAGAACTACCAAATGTTAGCCACCCTACACGATTTCTCATATCCTGGAGGGAAATATTACCACCTTTACAGATTGTTTCCTCAGAGTCACTCCTTTAACACTTCATTCATCTATAATTTAGAAAAGAGGGCATCCTCTTTTCTTTATAAGTTTATAATTTCTTGTTCTTACTTTTTCTCTCTTTAAACTTTTAGTAGTGTGCACCTAAGCCAGCATGATCTAACAGAAGAACATGGTCTTCAAATTCCCCAGATTGGCACTTACACTTGACCACTCACTAGCCCTGTAACCTTGAACAAGTTACTTAACTGCTGTGAGTCTTGATCTTGTCCTCTGTGGGATGTGTGTAAAGTGTCTGCTATGCGGGTAGCTGGGAGACCTTATAGGTGATGAGTGCTTAGTGATGAGAGCTATTTGTGATGGTAATGGACAATAAAATGTCCCTCAAATTGTGTTGCTCAGAATAGAACCAGCTATGGGCTTTAGCATAGTGGAGATTTTGAGAGCCTCCTGAAACCTTCCGTTTTCTGTAACTCTATGTATTGGTTTCACATTCTGTATAATGAGAAATCCTGAGTTTGTGCACTATGGTGTACGTTACTGAAACATGATTAACTTTTTGTCTAGAAATTGTGCCTTTAACAGATAAAGTAAATCAGTATGTGTTACTGACAATGACTTTTGTACAAGGAACTGAGATTAAAATCCCAAGACACTTAAATTAGAATTGCAGGAATATATTCTTTATTTTAATTTGTTTCTGTTTCTTGTCTCCTAAGGTCCTTGATTTTCCCATTCCTGATCCGAGGAGGGAAGCCAACACCATTGTACTCATGTGTAATTGCATTCATCTTTTGTACCTATAATGGCTACTTGCAAAGCAGATACTTAAGCCAATATGCAGTGTATGCTGATGACTGGGTCACTGACCCCCGATTCCTAACAGGTGAGTGACCTTAGTGATGCACTCCACTGTTCCAGTCATCACTTTAGTGTTCATGTTCCAGTTGTTTCGAGTTAGAAAGCCCACACTTCCCATACACTGTTGAGAGAGCAAAAAGGCTGTGATGGGGGGCTGGAGTGCTGGGGGAAAGTCAGGCTGTCCCACTGCCCCAGCAGCAGGAGATGATGCAGGTACACAGCACCTGTGCCCACTCAGACACTGAAAGTTCATACCTGTTCTTTTTCTTTTAGATCAAGGAAGGGAGAGAGAGAGAAAAACTTCGATTGACTGCCTCCCATCATGCCCCTATTGGGGATCAAACCCACCATCTTTTGGTGCACAGGACAGTGCTCCAACCGAGCCACACTGGCCAGGGCGCAAGTACCTGTTCTTAAGGCAAACCTAAATATAGCAATAAGCTACAGCAGCTGAACAGCGGGAAGACGTAGGAGACTTAGGCACTAATTGTCCATGTTATCTAGGACAGCCGTGCACCTCCTACAGTTTCTTCTAGCACATTTAGATGTAATGTGCCCTCATGGCCACATACCAAGAAGTATGAAATTATCCTTCAAATTCTGAAGCTGCCCACATCCCTTTACCCTAAGCTCCATAAAGTTACCTTACATCTTATTTGGCCTTTCCCCTATATAAGTTCATAATAATAGAGGAAACTAACATTTGATAGTATTTTGTTGCTGACAAAGTACTTCTACATTTCTCAGTCATAGTTTTTCTGTGAATTAAAATTTTATTCCCAGGGCAATGCCCTGGTCATACCTGAATTCTTACAAGGAGCGATCTGCTTCCTCATCTATCAAAGGAAGGAAAGCTATGGGGCATCTAGGAAGAGCATGCAGTGGCAGTGGCCCCATAGCTTTCTGAATGTTTTCCCTCCCATTCGTAAAAGTCTTCAGAGGGTTGTCATCACTTACAGACTTATTAGTATCACATCAATTAATGCCAATAAGAAAAGGCAAAATGCCAAAATAGTGTTTTATGAAAGAAGTAACTTGATTTGATAAAAAAAAGAGTTAACTTAATTGTTCTGAGATACTTCAGAAATGTGAAAGGCAGACATTGTTTTATGGTGGCATTCCATTCAGTATGAAAAAAATGTACACTTGAAGTAACATTATTAGCTCCTGGGAACCAGTGCCTCTCTAGGGACCTGTGTGCATCATGATGGAGGTCACTCTGTAATGTCACCTCTCCCCTGCCGAGTAGAGGCAGCAGTCATGCCTCACATAGGTGTTACGACCATAAGTCATATTTCCAATCATACCAGTTATTCTAGAAACAGAGATTGTGGCTATCAGGTCAAAATATTTTAACTAGATCAGATAATTAACCTTATTAGAAAAATAAAGCCCTATTGAACACACCTGAGAGCAATAATTATCTTTCTAAATAAAGGACAATATTTATTATAATGATTTTTACTATCAATTATGGCTTATATGTTATACTAATAATGATAATATGAAGGATTACAGTGATACTGTCCATTTAGGCATGGGTTCGTAAATTTTATAGTTTATCAACCATAACACTCTTATGTATCTTTTTTTCTTCAGGTTTTGTCTTGTGGTTCATAGGCATGCTGATAAACATTCACTCAGATCACATCCTAAGGAATCTCAGGCAGCCAGGGGAGACTGGATACAAAATTCCAAGGGGTATGTACTGAAAATGAAGAATTCATTCTGAGATTGCATTGCATTGCATGATGCCTTGATGTTTTAGTTTTGCCAGATCTAATAACTAACGTGTAGTACATATTAGCTATAGTTTTTAATGTGAGTCACTGTTATTAATAGTAGTCACTGTGATTATTGTTTTATTAAAATGATAAATTCTAGGCTATTGATTGGTTATTAACCAAAAAGGAAACTCTAGTTATCTTTGTTTGGAAAGAGAAAGTATGAGGAAGAATTTATGTTTTACATGGGTGTCTAATTCCTCATTTTAAAAAGTATTACAGAATAGATACCTTGACTGACCTTCCCTCTGAAAACAATTAAAAATGTTGGATGAAATTTGTGGGCAAGGGGGGTCTCAAATCTGTGAAATGGAGATAATAGAATCTACTTACTTGGGTTAGCTGAGAGCTATTATTATCGCCCATAACATATAAAGGGTTAATTACATCAACAAGCAAAAGGCAACCAAACCACTAGACCAGAGGTGGGGAACCTTTTTTTCTGCCAAAGGCCATTTGGATATTTATAACATCATTTGTGGCCCATACAAAATTATCAAATTAAAAATTAGCTATGAAAAAAGCTCCTAGATTTATTGAATTTCAAGTCCCACCTGCGGTTGCCTTGGCAGAGCCAGAGCAAATGATACACAGCCCATGGGCCAGACATTCCCCACCCCTGCACTGGATGCTCAATATCACTAAAAACCTATTTATCCCTTTTCTTCTTATTTTCAGCTACTTCCCGGCACATTTCAATATATCAAATTGTCCTAGTCCATATTCTTCTTAAACTTGCTTTATACTTCTTTGCTCCATGCTTTGCCTTCACTGGATGAAATTTTTTAAAAGTCATTTTAAATGTCTGAGCGTGGTGTCAGGGAAGGAAGTCATCATCAGAGTGCAAAATCTAAGTGAGCCCTAGCATCCAGAGCACAGCCGCGAGAATCTGGCTGCTGGCTGCCCTTTGCAGCCCAAATTCTCACCACTTGGAGTGTCTGAAAACCCTCAAGCCATGAGGTCCTGGTGGATGGTGCCCTCACTCACATGGCAGGGCACACCCAGATCCCCAAAGGGACCTGCTGTCAGCTCAGGTCTCAGAGAGCTCCACAGACCAGGTCACCAGGTGCCAAGGAATACGGGCCACACTTGAAGGTTGTGCAACAGATGAGGAAATCCGGCGCCGAGAGCAACGGCACAGTTAAGGTTGGAGACCTCAGGTTAATAGGGACAGATTATACAGTGAATCCTTAAATGCTTAAAAGAAATAAAAAGCGATTGAAGTTATGAGTAAAAACATATATATATTATACAGAGGACTAAGCAAATATAAGTTAGAAACTAGTAGATCTAATAAGAGAAATCAAGTAAGCACGCAGCGGCACTTAGTTTGGAATCCTTCCACTTACCTACCTGGAAACCATTCAAGGAGAAGAGCAAAGTAAGGAACAAATGACCAAAAATTATACAAATCTCAAATTACTTAAACTGGGGCCCTGAGGGTGATGACCACAGTGTATGCAGCTCTGCCCTCTGCCCTCTGCCCTCTGCCCTCTGCCCTCTGCCCTCTGCCCTCTGTCCTCTGTCTATAGGGCTCACACCCAAACAGCTGCAGCCCAACCCTCCCAGGAAGTCTGGGACCAAACTTCACCTGCTCAGGGAGGCTTGTTCCCAGCCACTGTCTGTGACATGACCTCCCTCTACCCCCAGCTAGACTTCTGGGCCCTCTCACCCTGCCCTGCTCCCCACAGAACTCCACACCTTATACCATACTCTGTGCTTTCCTTGTGTAGTATACTGAGGTTTAATGTTCTAGATGGGGGGGTGGGGATCTTGTTCACAGTGCACCTCAAGTGCCTAGACCAGGGTCTGGCCCATAATGTAGACTTGATGAGTCCATAAAGATTTGCTGAGTAAGTAAACGAATGAATGAATGAATCTGTCCTTGAAAATTAATATTTTTTTCAATTTTTAGTCTAGTGTTCTATACAAATCCATTTTATTAAGATAAGATAGTTCATTAATTGTTGTTCTCTGTCCTTGCTCAGGTTTTGTCAGTTTGATCCATTAACTAATGAAGTGATACATATTAAAGTATATGAAAACTGTAGCACTTACTATTCAGATAAATAGGTATTGATATAGGTAGATAGTTACTACCAGTACTTGTGATATGAAATAGTAAAACTAGTAATGTTGGATGTATCCCATTGATTAAAACTCTGTGTAAGCTGTATTTGCCCATAGTTGAATTTACGTTCTCCAAGGAAGTATTTACCGTTATCTCTTCAAGTCAGTATTTCCTGAGGCATCACTTTGTAGTCAATGCATCACTGGGTCTGTGCTTTCTTCTAGGAGGTTTATTTGAATATGTAAGTGCAGCCAACTACTTTGGAGAAGTGGTTGAGTGGTGTGGCTATGGTCTAGCCAGCTGGTCTGTTCAAGGCTGGGCTTTCGCTCTATTCACCATTTGTGTTTTACTCCCTAGAGCACAAGAGCATCACCAGTAAGTTTTAAACCACTTTTATCCTTTTAAATTTGTTCTCTGACCTTATTATGCCAGTTTTTAGGTTAGATTTTTGAAATGTTAATTATTAATTTAAATCCCAGTTATAAGGAATCATCAAATACATGTCAGCATTAACATTTTGTCCACCCTGTTCTGCGCCTCTTTAAATTTACACTGATGGACTCTGGACTTGGTCAAGTTAAATTTCAAGGAAGGCATTTGCGATCTGACCTGGTACACGCTGGTTACAAGGAGGAATGCTGACTGTGAATTAATGGGAACACAGAAGCCTGCAGTTGGAGGGAAGGCCCAGCATCCTCCCTCACAGAGCCCTTCACACAGCCACTGTCCACCGTGCTGACCTGGGGTCCTGATGGATTCTAGGCTCCGTGCACCCCCCACATCACACCCAAATGCTTCCTTCTGAACTAGAAAGATTCATCCTCTAAACAGGCTTGGCTGAAATAATATGTCTGCACTTTAGACTAAATATACATTACAAAGTCCTAGAAAATGAATGAAACAGCTAGATTTCATGCATCAACAATGATGGCAACAGCCATCTAGTCTCAGCCCAGCCTGGTCCCGTGTCCCCTCCTCGTCCTTGACTACCTTCTCCAGGCTGCCATCACTTCTGGGAGAAGATGCTACTCCCAGACATTTGTTATGTTAGATTTTAAGAAGCGAATATTGGCTGGTTTCTAATAGTAAAAACAGATGAGATGATGCTGATATTTTAAGAAACTGAATCGGGAGGATTGAGCAAGAGCACCCCAGGCCAGTTGTAAAGCTCGTTTCTCAAGTGAAAATGGAACCTGAAAATCCCACTCAGCATTTGAATATGAAACATACAGAAAGAGAAAATATGCAGTTCCATTTCTGAGGTATCCTTTGCACAAAGATTCATGTGTTGAAAGGGCTCTTTTGTCATTTGTTTGATGCTTAAATTAATGTTGGTGCAAACCAATTTTATTTGCTGAACAATATATCAATTCAGTTTAGTGGAAGTGTGTTTGCAACTGTTGGCATTACAAGCTGAAGACAAAATGAAAGCTATTCTTTTATTTTCTTTCTAATAATCCCAACTAATTAGCCCCTCAGGTAAACCGATTTCAAAAGAAAACAGTTTGTCAATAAACTAACATGAACAACTGTTATTAAACACATTTATTTTAAAAAAGAAAACAGTCCATGGGGCTATTCCTGCACCAAAGCAGCCACGCTTCTGCAGCTGTGAGGTGACAGGCTGAGTGCAGATGTGAACTTGTCACGTCTCAAAGCTGCACCTTGGAACTCAATCTGGGAGGACAGCCTTTGAGGAGGGGCTCTGCTGAAATAAGGAATGATCACATGCTTACCTACTTGTTAAGTTTAATATCACTTAAAAAATAAACTTAGTGTGTCTTTAAGATACTGATGGATAGTGTAAAGATTTAAAAATTAAGGACACACAAGAATGTGTTTATGAAATGCTGCCTGGGCTTACAGCCCCATTCATCGAACTGGAATACGAAGAGCATAACTTGTGAGCACTTGCAGAGTGTTTATCCAGCTGTCACTGACCTGTCTCCACAAGAGGAAGACTTCCACGGGAGGAATGTGGGAACATGAAGCTGTTTGTGAGCCAGAAAAAAAACTGCTTTAAAGAATTATTTGAAAAATTATCTCAGATTTAGGATAACCTGAATGTGATGAAGTGGGCAGTCCTCAGCTGAGGGTCATTTTACTTTCAACCAGAAGGCAAGGGGGCATTAGTTCAGGCCCCGCAATAACAAAATCAAGACAAAAAATTGACATCCAGCCCTGGTCCGTGTCACATGAGTGATAGCTTTTTGGTTTTAGAGATAGAAAAATGAGAGAAAAATAATAGAAATGATGCTGCTGTTCCCCTTTTAAAAATATTTATGCATATACCCATATTTATAAATCATCAAGTATAATTTTTTGAGGTGGATTTGTGATCTCGGTGATTAAATAATTGAGAATATTTTACTCTAATCATTTAACAAGGTATATTTTATTACTATGGAATGGTTTCTATGAAATAAATATAATATATTTGACAAACATAGCCTTGTTGGGTGAGGAAAATTTGCTCTAATAAAGGTTCTTCGTAACAGCGTAAGGAATCCCTGGCCCTCAAACATTCTGCAGGCGTGTGGGCATGGCTGGCTTACTTTTTCTAATTTTTTCTAATTTTAGGCTGTCCTTTGCTTCCACTTTTGCCCTTTCAAGCTAATGTGTCCCCTTCAATGGGCAGTTCCTAGGAAAGAGGAGCTCACCTCCTACCTCTCCTGACATAGTACCCAGCGCTGCTAACTTGTGGCAAAGTTCTTAGAAACTTGCCCATGGTCCATGTTTTAGGTCCCCAACAGCTGTCTTAGTCTGTTCAGGCTGCTATAACAAAAACACCATGAACTGGGTGCTTTATAAATAACAGACATTTATTTCTCACAATTCTAGAGACTGGAAGTCTGAGATAAGGATGCCAGCATGCTTGGGTTCTGGTGAAGGCCCTCTTCTGGGTTGCAGACAGTACCTTCTCGCTGTGTCCTTACATGGCAGAAGGAGCAAGGAGCTTTCCGAGGCCCCTTTTATCAGGGCACAAATCCCATCATGTGGCTCCAGCCTCGGGACCTAATCACCTCCCAAAGGCCTCACCTCCTAATTCCATTGCCTCAGTGGTTAGGTTTTTTAACATATGAATTTAGGGGGTACACATTCAGACAGTTGCACAGGCCTAAAACAATTTTCAGCGACTAATGTGTGTTATGCGCTTTTATACACTTTGTACTGCTGTTGTCTGTGGCCACATCTGCCATGGGCACTCTTGTCTGCAGCACATCACTGAGCTGGAAAAGGCTGTTGGCTATGCTTGATCCTCAGGTCCACTCCCCAGCTCCTCGGGACTTTGCCCATTACATGTCCTTTTGGGTGTACAGAACAGCATTTGAAAGTAAACATGGTAGTCTCCCATAACTCTCTATCTGTGGATTACAGTGTTAAACCTCTCCAAAATCTAAAATCAACAGGACTTTGCTCACTCACTTTGTGTGCTGTTGTCATTTATTGCTCTTAGGTTAACAAATACCTGATCATTTTCCATCATGATTTTTAGTCTGTTTAGCATTCTTTTGTACTTATGGAAATTCCATTTTTTTATTTCCTCATCTTATCAAATTTTTTAAAAATTTTACTCTTATCACTTAGTTTCCACCCTTCCCAACTAGCTGTTACCCCAAAACGAATGAGTATGCCTTTGTAGATATAATTCATATCAAAAGAGAAAATGCCTATTTGGTCTAAATACAGGGCCCAATTATGAATGAGACCAGGTTGCATTTTTCCCAGGTCTGTTTAAGAGTCACCTGGCTGGGTGCCCTTTCCAGAGTCCCTGGGTCTGGAGCAGTAGTTCTCTTCTGAGGACTAGAAAAAACTATCAGAGTGACCAGAAAATAATTAAGATACACCTACTGGGTTCCTCTCCTCCCCCAGTCTGCATGCTTCCTAGGTCTGGAAAGAGAGCTTCTCCATATACTAACCAGCATCTTTATCTCACATTTCAGTAATTTTTCTTGCCAATAGAAGGGTGAATGATATGGGTCATTTAGATCGTACTTTATAATCACTTGTTTAATTGAGATATAGACAACATCAGTTTATGTATCTGAAATGCCAAGGTTTTTATTACTGCTTTTAATTATGATTAAAAAAAATATTGTTCCTTTTGTTAGCATCTGTTACGTGTTAAGTGACAAAATTATTTCCTTCTTTACCATCCTTTTTTTCTTATTATAGGTGGTACCTTGAGAAATTTGAAGATTATCCGAAATTCAGAAAAATTATAATCCCATTTTTGTTTTAAGTCCATTGTCAGTGGAATTATCTTTGACTTGATGCTTTTTGATGATGTTTCTCTAGGGATTATATAACTGAATTATTTCTCTGTAATTTTCCTGCCACTTCATCTTTTTCAAGATTTGCCCTAGGAATTGTTTTTCTAGTAAATTTAAGTTACCTAATAACAAACTAATCTGGAGCTCTCTGGGTAATGGCTGCTGACCATTGCTCTGATTTAGGACTTACCTCTTTTGGTTATATCCAACTAAATGTGCCCAAGACCAGAATGTACACTCCATCTTTGAAGGCCTCTGTGGACCAAAACCTTCCACTACCCCTAGAACAGTTCTTACAAGGTCAAAGGCAATGTTGTCCCTTCTCCCCATAGAGGTATGATCTATCTTCTAGGTCCCTCATCCCACTGGGTTGGAGAGGCCTGGGGTACCCACAGTGTAGTCAGATACTCAGGAAAATGCACAGGCTTTCCCTGTTGGGTGCTATACAGGCAGAGAACTTGGGAATGGAGAAAGGAGATGCCTGAGGCCCAGCTGAGGCCTGGCCAAAGGCACCTACAGCTGCTCCAGCCTGGCCTGCCAGGTGACTACACTGGCAGGGCAGGATGCTGGGGCTTTTATAAGGAGCAAGCTGCTCTGTCCCTCACAAAGGGACTTTGTGAAGGCCTGAGGGTGGGAGCCAGCGGGTGCAGCAGGGCAGTTCCCCCACCCCCTGCCACCCCCGGGGTGGTCCCCTAGTCTCAGGTCACTCGCCATAAGCAGTCATTATTCCCTGGTCTTTTAAGTACCTCTCATCATTGCAAAATGATATCTTGAAGCAGAATTTCATGCTTTAGATGCAGTTGAAAGGCTCACTAATATAAATGGCAGTAAAATTTACTACTCGTGGCCAGATATTTAAAAGAAATCTCCAATTAGAAGGCCGCTGACTCTCGGCTCTCTGTGAAAACCTAATGAGTTCATGGCAAATGTCCCCTCCATCCTCTCTTGGGACAGTGCTGCCACGTCAGTCGCTGCTGCCACATTTGCAGAGGTGAAAACCAAGAGAGAGGTAGAAAAGAAGAGACTGTTCACTTCTGATCCACTGACAGTGCTAGGTTGCAGGAGTCCTCCAGAACACACCTGAAGTGATGTCCTGTCAGTTTACTCACTGCTGCCTTTGGGCTGGAAGCAAACCCTCCTGCCTCTCATCCCCACCCTTCTGGCTCACCTCCCAAGCAGGGGCTCCCTCCCTCATAAGTTTTCATGTAGAAACTCTGTTCTCTGTGGGCTGTTAGAGTCTCTTAGGGGTTTAGAATTACACAGAAATCTTCCTGATGCAGCTGTGCTTCATTTTCACTAAGAACGGCATGTTTTTGTGGGGAAATTTTATTATTAAATGAACTTTGGCCCTTTTTCTGACCAAATAATTACTTGAAACCATAAAGCAATAAATATTTGGGATCTCAGGAACACTCAAACAGCTGAGCCAATCTTGATGGATTTGGGGCCCTGTGTTTTAGAAGGTGCACCTGACCAGAAGGATATGTTTATGAAAGCCAGAGAAGCTCCCTGTGTTACTTCTGAGTGCTGCTGTTTGATTGGAATAACCCGTGTGTACAGAAGTCTGGGTTAGCTCAAGATTTGATGCAGCTTCTGCTTTCCAGGCGTGCACTGGATCGATGACTAACATGGGAAGAAATCCTGTTCTATATTGTGGCTCTGTCCTTCATTTCCTAATATTTCAGTAAATTGTCTTCAGTCGTTCTGTTAATTATACTAATTAAGGAAATTAACAAAATTACTGTGAAAATCCCATCATTTTTGTCAGCCTTTACTGTCTCAACATTTCTTCACTCTAGAAGATCAGACAGTAACATTTTTATCCCTGAAAACTTCCCACCTACATTAACATTTCAGAACATCAAAATTCTTATCACGATAGAGCCATGTAACATTCTTCCTATACATCTTGTGCATTTCTGTTAAGATTATTTTTAGATATTTGATATTTTGTGTATTGTGAATGAGAGTGTGTCCCAAATGCTTCTTATAACTAGGATAAATCAAAGCAATTGAGATTTATATATTTGTCACATCTAACCATGCTCCTGAAATTACTTAATAAACTCCAACTTTGTCATTATTCTTAGGTTCTCTTTCTTTGAAGTCATGTCATTTATAAATATCTTTTAAAAATGTATTTTTAAAAATATATATATACCTTTATTGATATGAGAGAGAGGAAGGGAGAGGGAGAGAGAGAGATAGAAACATCAGTGATGAGAGAGTCATCATTGATCGGCTGCCCCCTGCATACCCCGGACTGGGGATTGAGCCCACAACCCAGGCATGTGTCCTAACCGGGAACTGAACTGCGATCTCCAGGATTCTAGGTCGATGCTCAACCGTTGAGCCACGCCCGGCTGGGCTAAAAATATTCTTTTTAAATATTTTTTTATTGATTTTTAGAGAGAGGAAGGGAGAGAGAGAGGAACATTGATGTGACAGTGAAACATCGATTGGCTGCCTCCTGCCTGCCCCATCAGGGATCAAGCCCTTGACCTGGGCATGTGCCCTGAGTGCAAATCCAACCAGCAACCTTTCAGTATATAGGATGATACCCAACCAACTGAGCCACACTGGCCAGGACATCATTTGCAAATATCTTAAGTTCTTGTTTTGCAACACTTGAAGCTGTTGCTTTTATTTTGTTTGTTCCTTACATTAGCAAGAAATTCAAGAACAATTTAGATAATAGAGGTGATTGTCAAGATTCTTGTGTGATTTTAACAGGAATGTCCTTTTTTTGAGATTACTATTTTGAGCATTCTTTTATTTTTTTCATGTGGCTCTTGGTCTGTTTTCTGCTTTAGCCATTGGGATTACTTCTTTGCTTTTTAAAAAAAAATTCTCCATTTTGAGATTTTCAGATGTGCTTCATACAGGTCAGGAGTGAAAAGGAAAGTTTATCAACAGACGTAGAAGAGATGGCCAACTGTAGGAATGTGTCCATGTTGACGTTCTCATCTTGTGGGTTATTTTCTTCATTAGGTGCTCTCAAAGGTTTTGTTATTGTTGTTTTACTCTAAACCACCTTTTATTGTGGTAATTTCCTCAGTGTTTCCTAATTTATTAATATCTGCAAATATATCAAATCTACTTTTTAAAATATTAATAGTCATGCTGGGTGGTTATGTCATACTTTGTAGTTTTATGTAATTTTAAAATTTTACTTAAGTGGAAGGATACAGAGATGGGCCATGGAGTGTAAGGTTGTGAGGAAAGTGAAGCCAGGACGTTAAATAGAACAGGAGAAATAGGGCAGTGGGGAAGGCCTGTCTCTGGGATCAGCGCTGCCACAGGGCACTCGCAGCACCTTGGAGAGCTCCGTGCAGGCCCCTGAGGCCGGCACTGTGTTCAGGGCCCAGGGTCTTGCAGACTTCCTCAATGTTGTGGGGGATGGGAGGCTGCACTAGGAGTTCCTGACCCCGCCGAAATCTGATGACAGTTTCTGCACACGGAGTGGGGCAGTTTCACAGAGAATAGGTACTAAATCCCGAGTCGCCCTCTCCCGAGGAAGAAAGCTAGGTTCGGTTACTCAGTGAGATCAGAGGGCCCGCAAGTGGGCTGGGGAAATAACCTGGTTAGAGACCCTCTGCACCTGTGGAGGCCACAGGAGAGAGAACAGGGAGGCTCCCTGGGTCTGCATTTGGTCCCATTTGTGAAAAACAAACGAAAACAAAAGGGGGACTGGGGTAAAACGGACAGGTGAGGAGCAGAGGAAGAAGGCAGCCCTGTGGCAGCTGGTGGGAGACAGAAGGGGCCCTGCGGAGGACAGCAGGAGGACACGCAGCACATCAAGACGTGGGGAGACGGGCCGGGGAGAGGCAGGGCGTGGCAGGATGAGCGGCTGGGAGACGGAGTCCAACTCAGAGAAAATGAGGGTCTGAACTCCTCAGAAGTGCTGGAGAGGGGAAGGAGGCAGATATTAAAGCTTCAGGAGTGGAAGTTGAAGGCTATATTTTTAAATGAGCAAAAGATTCGAACAGTCACCCCGCTAAAGACGTACCTCTGGCAAATAAGCCCATGACAAGATGTTTGTCATCTTTAGTCATTAGGAAAATGCACATTAAAACCATAAGCATATCCCCACCATGTGATGGGATGGTTCCAGTTAAAAAGCCTAAGTGTGGGTGGGGACACGAAGCAACTGAAACGCTCCCGTTCATCACTGGTGAGGATGGAACACAGGCTACTTTGGGAAACGCAGTTTCCCTTTCCTCTCCTTTTTTCTCTCTGTTCCTTCCCACCGTCCTTCCTTTCCTTCTTGTATTCTCTCATCCTCTCCTCTTTTTGAATTGCCAAATATTTAATGTTAAATAATGGCCAAATAATTTGTGCTCTTGCATGCTTACCATCCTTTGATCATAAGCAGCAAACACTGTCAGTCTACAACTTATACCCAAGAACATCACAACATTTTCTTACTCTCCTAACCCCGAGTTAGGAAACTTAGCTGAATTTCTGTTAAAACTTGGGAAATTTTAACTATAAACTATGAATTTCTTAATTTTTGTATTGTTCTTTGAAGACCATTCACTGTGTGAATTTAGTAAGTGCACCATTTGCAAATTTTAGAAATTTTATTCCTAACATTCATCTTTTTTTGCACTTGAAATTAGTGAAAGCTTCCCTTCATTGTCAAAGCTCAGAAGTGTTTATCATGTGGCATACTGCCTTACAAATGTGGTAATAGAAGATTTGGAAACAGTTATTTATCACAGCACTAAACATAGACCATAATGCCGTAAGAGATTCCAGCTCAAGTTGGCAGTCAAAACACAATTTAGACTTAAAGTGCTGTATTTTAAAAAACAAATTTTCAATTCGGATAAATAAAAATCATTTCATTTTTCAAAGGCTTGGCACTGCAAAGAATGGAATGCACACACAAGAATTATTACTACACAGTTGTCCTGCTTTTCTAGGACAAGTCAAGAAATGATTTCATTTATAACACTAGAGTTCCCAGGCTTCTACATCAGTCAACTTTTCATGTAGCTCTCTGATGTTAAATGTTGAAATCTCTACAGATTCAGTCTCAAACTGGTAGGTCCCCCAAATACAAATATTATCCCATTAACACACATAAGTCATAACTTATTTACTTCCCTCCATTAAGCATTGTTACATTTATTTCAAATTGTTTTAAAACTACAGGTTTGCTCACAGTGGAGTTTCTCCAGGCACAGTGCAAACTGGTTTGACCAGAAAAAGCAAACATTGACTAAGAATGCAATCTTTATTAACAAAATTTTAACCCTAGATTTTCATTTTAAAAAGCTAGTCCAAAAATGGCTTAATTGTATAAAGATGTAGCTTTTCCAAATCACAGGGAAAGAGACACCAGTATTTTTTTTTTCTTCTATTTTCTACTATATGCCTTAGAATTCCTCACAAAATCACTGACACACCAGAACAGCATTTGCAGAGCAAGGCTGTCGGACACATGTTCAACAAAATCAGGAGGCTATTGCTAATATGTTACATTGTTCAGATAGTAAATGGTTATATGCTGATTATTTACATAGAACATTGATTCACTAACAAAAAATAAGAGCAACCAGGAGACTACATCATTCAATGTTCAGAGAGTTAACTGTTCCCACTTGCTGCAGGCAACTCTTATAGACAGAAACCTCATGGCCATTCTCTGGCATTTTCCCAAGTTATTGCCTGAACAGCCTCATAGCCCCTCATCAACAGTAGACTTCAACCTCAGGTTCCCTTCACCTAGATCAGTGCCCAACAGGCTGGTGCCAAGGATTAGCTGTCAGCACAGCACGGCCTTCATGGTTAACCTTACACCCCACTGGACAGAGCTCCCTGGGCCCTGGATTGCCAGAGAGCAGCAGCCACCTCTAGGCTGTCCACCTCGATCCACCCAGAGACCTAGTAGAGAATCTGGGACTTAGTGCTCGAAACACACTTGTTAAATAAAAAATTTTAAAGTTATTCCTGCTTTGCTTCTCACTCAAACAATAAAACCACAGCTGACAAGCTCCATGCCTTATTGAAAGCCTGGGAGGGTCTGGATCCTGACGGGAGTTGGTGACTTTTGAGAGGACAGTCTGGACAAGCATTGTGCCTTTTGCTGCCTCCAGCTAAAGGTCATTCTAATCTAGATTGACAAACACAGCTGGCCTGTTTGTTTTCAGACACATATCAGTCTTGGAACACTGTCCTGTTGGAATCAACTTAGTGTTGCAAAAGGTGGCCTGTGGGGTGTCCCCTCAGGGGCCCTCTTGGGTGAAAGCAACGGCCAGAAGTTAAAGCCCCAGTCTGGGCCAGTTTGCTGCCACCACCACACTAAGCCAGTCCCTCCCTCTGCCCTGTGCCTTGGAGGGGATGGGGCTACTATGGATCAAGCCCACCTCTGAGACATGCTTGCAACCTGTGCTCTGAGATTTGCAGATACTTTTGGGAGTCAGAGAAAGAATTTTCAGCTCTAAAAAACTCATTTGAATCAAGTTTTCACAATATTTAAAAAAAAATTAAACCCATAGTTTAGAAATCCAATTATATTTTAGAACAATTGGGGGGAAAAGAAGACATCAGATATGACACAAATAAAAAGGAGAATTTATGAGAGAGAAAATCACATTCTGCTTTTTTCCGGAGACGTTTGGGGGCTCCTTTGAGGACCCAGGTGTGCTAGCCTTTTGAGGCCACACCTCTCTGAGGCTTTAGGCCAACTCATCACAAGGAAAGGTGCCTTGTGATTCTGCCCTGGCCATCCTGCTGGGTTTTTGTCCTGTGAGTTGCTGCTGCTGCGGCCAGGCACTCTGATGACCTGCCCTTTTGTCACATAGATGGCACTGACTTATTCTGACCGAGCCACTCCATCTCCAGGCATCCTAGGGCTGCCATCCCAGCTTCTTGGTCACACCTCCTTATTCTGTTCCTCGCTGGGGCTCAACTACTTCTTTCCCAGTCCTGATATAACCCATTTCTTTTCCCCAAATCACTGTCTTGATCTTCCATTGTGTCTCAACCAGCCCAGCAATTCTGAGTTTCAGGAGCTACCTGGAGCAGTTGTGAGCACTAAGTGAAGTAACATTTGGAAAATTCTCAGACACTCCC